AAATAAATAAATTTATAATAAGGAATTATTACAAAATAATTTTTCTTCAGATTGATAAGAAAAATGAAGCCTGAAATTCACATTCAGAGGCAGGATATTGTTTGAGAATTTTCCATTGAATTTTGTAGACAAAATTACATTTCAGAATATTAATGGTTCTTCTGTACCCTCAATTCTTGCTGTCTCCCAGATTGATTTACTTTTCTTTTAAATCTTCTTAATGGTTGATATTTGAGTTTTTAGAAATGCCTAATGAAATGTGTTTTTACGTGATGATTGTAATGATTACAGCTGCTTTGCATTAATGTTTTTGGTTTATTTGTAGCTTATGGTGCTGCTGTCTGGAGTAATAGCTTTCATGGTGAACTTATCAATTTATTGGATCATTGGGAACACCTCACCAGTCACGTATCCTTTGCTGATAACTGACAAATGCATGGTCGTTTATGTTTTCCCAAACTCTGTCACCTACATTTCCTTATTTGAATCTCACGCTTATATTGCATGGCCTGAATTGAGTAGGGAGAGAGTTATTTTTAACCTTTTACTGTCTCATTTCACATCAGAGTCTTTAGAAATTTAAAGAAACATGAACTGAGGAATGAGTTAGCTTCTGTATCATGATTGTTTTTGAATTTTCCTAAGTAATAGGTGGCCTTTTCCCTTATCAAAATTAACACAAAGTGCCATTGTTTGCACATGATGGGGTTAAATAAATATTTGTTGAGTGAATAATGGGGTAGACACTTGGGTTTTCTGTCAGTTTTTAGTTATCTATAGTAATAAAGTAGAGCTGTGGTTAATCCAGTTAACCAAAGATAATTTCAGACCATCAACATCTGACTTTAGAATATGTTTTTGTACTTATTTGGTTATGGGTGTGCCTGTGTTTCTCAATATTCCTTCAAATCAAGAAATGAAGTCATACCTTGGAGGTCTGATCAAACTCAACTGCCCATTTTTAATGTCCTGCTCATCATTCTGTTTCTCTGCTCCACTTTTAAGCAGATGCAAAGAATGGGTTTCCCCAGATCAGAGAGGTGCTTTGGTAATGGTGCATCTGAGTGTGCTGATTAATACATGTGAGTGAGCGCTGAGATGTCACAACGTAAATCAGCAGTGTGTTTGCCGATAAATAACAAAGGTGACAACAGTTTGTTAAAATGCCAACGCTGTTGGAAATACTGTGTGTATTGGGCCATTTAATTCTCATGGCAGCTCTGTGAGGCACGTTCTCTCGTTTTATGCTGTGGAGGAGGAAATGGGGTGCAGAGAGGGTAAATAACTCCCCTGAGATCATGTAGCTGCTCAGTGTGGCGTCCAGAGTTGAACCCGCACGGTCCAGTCCCAGGACCCACATACCGGGCGCCCGACCTCGGCATCCACGTCTGGGCCCTGATGAAGAGCACTCATTCGGTCACAAATTTCATCTCATTCAGTCAAAAAATATTGATCAAATACCCACTATAAACCATTTATTGACTCAATAAATATTTATATGCTGAACATCTGTCATATGTCAGGCAGTGGGGACACGTAGTGAACCAGACAGAAATCTTTGATCTCACAGGCTTAGATTCTGGTGAGGAAGACAGAAGTAAACAAGAAAAACAACAAGTATACAGTGTTAGATAGTGTTAAGTGCCAGGGAGAAAGGTGATGTGAAATGTTGGGGACGGGGTCGATGTTTTAGGGAGGGAGCCAGGAAGGCCTCTACAAGAAGGGGCTTTTGAGTAAAGACCTGAAGGAAGTGAGGTTGCTCCACGCAGGTTGGGATGAAGAACATTCCAGGCAGAGGGACAGCAGGTGGAGCCCCGGGATCAAGGGGTCCTGTGTGGTTGGAGCTGGAAGCGCAGGGGGTGGCGTGTGGCGGGGCTGCGAGAGGTGGCGGGAGGAGGAGAGGTTACGTAAGGCCTGTTACTCCGAGGAAGACAGGGGGCCTCGAGTTTTGAGCAGAGAGGTGACGTGGTTTTGCTTGTGTCCTAAGAGGCTCGCCCTGGGCCGCCGTGTTGAGCATAGCCTAACTCGGGGTTGCCCGGCCCCAGTGCCATTGACCTTGTGGGCCAGATGGTGCTTGGTTGCAGAGGCCTGTCCTGTCCCCTGTGGGAAGTGTGGCAGCGTCCCTGGCGTCTGCCCACTAGATGCTAGTAGCACCCCTTTCCCCAATTAGGACAACGGAAAATGTGTCCAGACTTGGTGCGGTGGCACAGTCACCCCTGATTGAGAACTGCCGACTAAGAGAGGCAGAGGGAGAAGGGAAACCGCCAGGCGGCGCTGCAGGGTTCCCGTTTGGAGCAGCGCTGCTGCGTCCCAGCGTGGTAGCTGGCTATAGTGGGAAGTGATTGGATGCTGGGCACGTTTTCAAGTGGAGCCAACAGGTTTTGCTGCCGAATTGGACGTGGAGATGAAGAGGGGAAGCGAGCTTGCCTCGCGTGGTTTGGCCTGAGCGCCCGGTAGAGTGGAGGTGCTGTCGCCTGGGATCGCACGGTCCCTTGAAGGAGTTTGGGGCGACGAGGAAGAGCAGGTGCTCGGGTTTGGTAAACGGGTCTGAGAGCAAGGGTCAAGGTCTCGGCTGGAGAGGGTCCAGGGTCAGTGGTGTGTGGACGTGGTTTAGAGCAGAGAGGCTGGTTGAGATGACCAAGCCAACACGTGGAATAAGTAAGGACGCCCAGAGATGGAGTCCAGGGTCACTTCAGTGTTGAGAGTGCGGGGAGACGAGAGGAACGGGCCGAGGAGGCGGAGGAGGAGCCATCGGGGTGGGTGGAAGGGGAGTGTAGAAACATGCTGAGGAGGCCGGGACCCTGTGTGCAGTGCCGCTGACGGGCGGGTGACTGATGGAGGGGTAGGAGGGGGAGGGCCCTGATGCTCCTGACAAGGGCTTTCAGAGAGTTGGGGTGAAAACCTGACAGGCAGAGTGGAGAATTAGAGGAATCAGGAATATCCAGTGTACACTGCTCCTTTTTTTTTAATTGACAAAAGGATTCACTGAAGAATTTCTTTGAATTCGCCTTCTGTGGGGTATAAACATCTTCAACAGATCATGAACTACTTAGAAGAGAAGCTGAGGAGTGAAGAAGTGCTGAGGCTTAGAGCCAGTGTCCTTGAAGACGGCTCATAACTGAGAACAGCATGTTCTGTGAGGTTGTAGTGGACATCCTGGGAAGGCCCTCTCTCTCGGATGTCCCCTCGGTCGGGTCAGGCAGGCCCAGCTCCCGGTGACGTGGCCGTGCTCTCCTGCCCAAAAGGACCTTCCAGGCACTTAGTTGGGCCTAGAACAGACAGAGGAAGGAGCCTGGGATTGAGGTCAGACGGACCCGGGTGTGCATGCCGGGCTCCGCCTCTCCTGTGGGCCTGAGCTAGTTGTGGGGCTCTCGGGTCGCACCCTCATCACTTAGGACGTGGGAGAAATAATATCTACGAGGCTGGGTTGTTGTGAGGGTTTGAGGGAATACGTGTCAAGCGCCTGGCAGAGGTTTATTACGCATAAATACTGCCATTGATGACTGTTGTTACAGCTAACACATACGTGCTTACAGTGTGCTAGAAGCTTTGCATGTGTTGTTAGTTAGTCCTCACAGTAGCCCTGGGGGTAGCTTTCGTCTATCCCCATTTTATAGATGAGAACACTGAGGCACAGAGCAGTAGCTTCTTCTGGTGTTGTTCTTAGGAAGAGTAGATGGACACACATCAAACATCTGAAAAATAATAAAGTACTAATTTATATAGAAAAAACATATTTAAAATGTGGTAAGATAATTTTTAAAGAAACGGTGTGTGTGTGTTAGTTCTTTAAATGAGCAGTGATTTGGAAACCCCTCGATCAAGCAGCGAGTTAGTGGCAGTGTACGAGACCAAACCTGGAGTTGAGAGTTACACAGACCCGTCTGTGTTTGGACTCCAGCCCTGCCGCTTACTGACTCTGTGACCCAAGTTCCTTCAAGTCCTTGAGCCTCTGCAGTTGTAGAACGAGAAGGGGGCACCGCAGAGAAGGTAAACGTGGGGCTTCAGTAAAATGGTGTATGCGTGCCCCGCATGTGTGTCCCCGGCGTGTACGTGCCTGGTGTTGTATGCACGCCTGGCACAGTGCCTTGAGTATCATTAGTGACCAGTGTCACTCCCTCCCCTGCCCATTTCCCCCTAAACCTAACATAGTGGGTGTGTTTACCTTGAGTCAGCTCTCTGACACCTTACTCCTCTCACCTCAGTGGCCAAGAGGCGTTCGTTAGAAATGGCACTATAAAACATGACGATAAACTGCTGTACATACTGTCTCCTCTGCACCTTGTTCTGAATTCCTCTCCCAGCTTTGTATTGTGGCCTTTTCCCTTCTTTGAGAGGTCGGTGGGGTAGCTGGGACAGTCTCCCGTCACTGATTAACTGCTGAAACCTGCCTGAAGAGACGAGGATTGACCCAGCACTTCCCTGAAGTTCCTGTGTTCTTCAGATGGGGCTGCTGTGCAGTCTGCTGCGTGCAGCTGTTCCAGTCACAGGAAGACTTTGCTGCACGTGCGTGTGTGTGTCTGTATGAGTGTGAGTGTAACGTCTAGCTTGTCACTGCTTTTTCTCCTTATCTGAAGCCTCAGCTATAACATGTTTGGACACTTCAAGTTCTGCATCACTCTCTTTGGAGGGTACGTCTTATTTAAGGACCCGTTGTCAGTTAATCAGGGTCTCGGCATGTTATGTACGTTATTTGGCATTCTCGCCTACACCCATTTTAAACTCAGTGAACAGGAAGTAAGTAAGAGTAAGTTGATACAACGTCCTTAATCGTGTTTTTGTGGAGAAAAGAAAGTCGCCCAAGAAGATAAAAATGTTACCTGCGCAAGTTACTTTCAAAGAAGGAAAAAAGTGCTGCAAAATCATTGAATGATGGTTTGCAAGAAGGAACACAAAGGAAACTATATTCATAAATATGACGTTCTCCTTTACAGTACCTTTTTAAAAAAAATTCTCTGAAACAGTGGCTCATGCTTCTTTTCAAAGATGCTTGTGTGAAGAATAGAGGACGGTGCGGTTGCACCGGTGTAGTCGTGGAGTTAAACTCCGTAGCAGTGACGGGGGAGTCCGGGTCACTGTCCTGCAGGTGTGTGGGGGTTGTCAGTGTTCACAGGCCTCTGAGGAAGGACACGTGGGGCCACTCCCCCTGCCGCTAGGTGGGCCCCAGCGTGAGCTCGATTATCATTTCGGCCAGTGTTCAAGTCAGAATTTAAATCTAGCATTTCTGTTTTAGTTGGTTTAGTATAACTCCCTGCTTATTTACAGAAATGAAGTATCATTTATAGAAAGCGAAGTGTAGTAAAGAAGACCGTACGACAAAATCCAATTATAAAAGTTCCATTTTCTAGTAGAAAATTGATGTAAGAAGTTATACATTATCAAAAAGCTGCAGTTTCTGAAGGTATTCTTTGTTTTTGAGCTCTCAGTGAACTCTAGGAACTGTACGTGGAGTTAAAAACGACATGGCTCCCTGGAATGACCCGAAGAAGAGACTGTGGATGGAGGTGAACAGGTTTCTGCCTGTTCTGGGGGCTCTTCTCTGCCTCTGAGCAGTTCATGGTAGTGGTTTCTCAACACCCTCTCCCTGCCGGCGCTCCCCACCCCTACATCGGAGGCGTCCTCGGAGCTGTGTCCTGCCCTGAAGGATCTGGAGTGCCTGTCCAGCCTTCCCAGGGTGGCTGAGGAGCACGCGGCAGGTCAGGGCAGATGCTCTCCAGACACCGAGCAGAAGCCTGGTGAAAATATGAGGAAAGACGTGCAAGAGAAGTAGGAGAACAGCCAATATTTAACTAGTTCCATGAGTTTTTAAAGGGATAATTTTAAAAAATTAGGGTACAGGGGGAATCCATAATTTCCACTTAAAGAAATATAGTGCCACGTATTTAACTGCAGAACGTATTTTCTGCCTTCCACCTTCTTGATATATGAGCATTAAAAGCGGTTGTTGATGACCTCTCAGGATAAATTGTGGCAGATAATCCTCTTGTAATAAATAATTCTTTTTCTAAATATTATTTCTAAGCTTTAAATGAGAAAACAGCTCTTAAGAGGACACGGAGCCATGTGGATGAAATAGACCTTTTAGGACTTTTTTCCTGGACTGTTTGAAATGAAAAGCCACAGAAAACCTATTTTGATGGAATTTCAGTGTTATCGGTCAGTCTGTTGTATGATTGGTACGCGTGATTTCTATTTTTGTTTTAAATATTCTTTGGTTCTTCTCAGTTTCCAAAGATGTATTTTATGGTGTTAAGAAGTGCAAAGCAGTTGATCTCACCAGATGAGCCTCAGGCCTTACGTTTGTCTGAGAAACGTTCTCTCTGTATGTTTAACATATAATTATTTCCCCAAAGCTGGAGAAAGTATGTCACACAGCAAGGGTTATATGACTTCTGTGCACTAACAGCTGCGTTGATTTGTGCCATGTGCAAATTCTTCTTGACTGTAAATACAACAGGGGGCGTTATAATAAATGACTGATGTCAATAGGAATGCGGTAAGGGGTTGGAGCAAGGTAGGGTGGGAGTACGTCCATATAAGGGAATAAAATATGTGCTGTTGGAACTAGAGCCTGATAAACATTTTTTCCCTGAAGACGATCTTCCCTTTGAAAGGGAAATTCCTGGGGGAAAAATGCACCAGTTGACCGGGACCAACCACAGAGACAGACCGGAAGACGGTGCTGTGGAGGGACACGCTGTCCTTCTGGTACAGGTGGAACTGCTCTCGTTTTTTATCCTCTGTTAAGTGATCAAACTTCAGTTTTTACCTGTTCAAATAAAGAGGATCTGATGTTTTTACTTTCGTGTTTCCTTTTAGAACCAGCGGAAGAGGGATTGCGTCTATGTGTATGTGCAATGGTAACGCTGGCCTGTTCCAGCTCCCACATATGCAGAATCTAATGAACAAAATCCTCATTTCTCTTTTAAAATAACATAAAGGAGAAATCTTTCTCTGGGAAATGAAGCAGGCTTTCTCATGTTTCACTTTTAAAAATACTTTTTAGGGGCTGGCCTAGTGGTGTAGTGGTTAAGTTCACGCTCTGCACTTCAGCGGCCCAGGGTTCGGAGGTTCGGATACCTGGCACAGACCTATGCACGGCTTATCAAGCCATGCTGTGGTGGCGTCCCATATAAAGTAGAGGAAGATGGGCACAGATATTAGCCCAGGGCCGATCTTCCTCAGGAAAAAAAGAGGAGGATTGGCAACAGATGTTAGCTCAGGGCTAATCTTCGTCACCAAAAAAAAAAAAAGAAACGCTTTTTAAACCTTGCTATTTTTAAATTGTTAAACAATTATTAAGAGCAACAGCATTAATCAAACACTCCGCAGTGACTCCATCAGTAAATAGTTGTTGAGTGAATGAATATGCAGAATCGCCGATGGAGAAAGTCTGATTAAAAGAATGGAGACCAGATTTATTAGATGTATTCTGTTTTGCATTTCTGTTTCCAGACTTGAACTGGATTATACTTGCTAATGTCCGGGTTACACTGTTACTTGCATTCACTCAACAAATTGAGTTTATTGCTCGTATATTATGTGTCCGGGACTGTACAAAGATGGTCCTTTTTTGCACAGAGTGTCCTATGTTCCTTATGATCTTAAGAAACATCTGTGTACCAGAAAAGATAGACGTTAATTAAATAGTTTATTATTACAAATCCAAATAAAGGCTAAAAGGTACACGGTTCTTTGAGAGCTCATAACAGAAGACCCTGGCCCAGGATTGGCTGTCAGTGAAGGTGTCCATGAGGAGACAATGACTGGGCTGAAATCTGATGGCTATTTAGAAGTTAGCTAAGCAAAGGGAGGGGATTGCATTCTGGAAAGAGGGAATAGCACATACAAAGGCCCATTGGTTGGAGGAATTATAATGAATTTAAAGAACTGCGAAAAGGATGGAGTATAGAGACTGCATGTAGGGGTGGGGAGAGAGTCTGATATGAGAGTGGAAAGGTGGGCAGGTCTCAGACCATACCCCTGCTGTGGGCTATGTTAAGAAGCTAGCAAGAGTGAGAGGGAGTGTTCTGAGCATTGTCACAGTCAAGAGACGAGGAGAACCTGAGAGATGCTAGGAGACCAGTCAGGACTCAACTAATGAGGTGCGATGGCAGCTTGGAGGGGTGGCGGTGGGGAGATGACAGTGGATAGATTCAAGAGAATTTAGTGGATGGAATCAACTGGACTTGAGGTGGATTGGAAATGGAGGGCCAGGGAGGGGGTGAAGTCAATCACACGTGTCTGATTTGCACAGCTTGACGGAGAGTGGTGCGGTTCTCTGAGATAAGAGACACGGGAAGAGAGGTGGGGTGGGGAGGGGGAGATCAGGAGCTCATACATAGCCATCTGGATTTTGAGGCATCCAATTAGAGGTGTTAATCCAATAATCAGATACACAGGTCTAGAAGTGGGAATTTTTTGAGGTGGAGTGGAGATAAAACTTGAGTTATTGGACTGCCAGGATGAAGACAGACCAGGGTGAGCTTGCCTAGGAAGAGAGAACAAAGTAAAAACCCAGCCTACAACTGAGCCTTGAGGAACTCCAGCACATACTGGTAGAGGGAGATAATTCTGCAAAGGAAACGGAAGAGGTAGGAGGAAAACAAGGATGGTGATATAATGGGAGAGAGGGTGGACAAATGAGAGGTCAGGTTAGACATAGAAAAATAACCGTTGTGTTTATTGACAGGCTTATTGTTGGCCTCAGGCTGTTTCTGTGGAGCAATGGAGGCAGAAAGCAGGTTGGAGTAGGCTGAGGAGTCCGTGTGAGAGGGAAGCATCTGGAATCAATACTGAATATTGCCTGACGCGGACTGGGGCCTCTTGTTGTGAGTCAAAGAATTTTTTTTTTTGTGAGGAAGATCGGCCCTGAGCTAACATCCAATGCCAGTCCTCTTTTTTTTTTTTTTTTTTTTTTTGCTGAGGAAGATTGGCCCTGAGCTAACATCCGTGCCCATCTTCCTCTACTTTATATGGGACGCCGCCACAGCATGGCTTGACAAGCAGTGCATTGGTGGGCACCTGGGATCGGAACGTGCGAACCCCGGGCCGCTGCCGTAGCGGAGCAAGCAAACTTAACTGCTGTGCCACTGTGCCACCGGGCTGGCCCCTAAAGACTTTTATTGTAATAGTAGTTGACTATTACAGAAATAAAATTATACAGCACCAAATATCCTGTGTTTTCCTGGAAGAAGTGCACATAACTTGTGTAATTGGTAATCTTTTGCTCCAAAAAGGAGTTTGGTTTTTGCCTCCTGAAAATGTTTTTGAAATAAGGGTTGCTATTAATAAAATCTACAGTGACTTTTGCCACCTGCCAGCCTACTTTGAAAAAACAATTTTGCGAGCCCACTAAGGGATGATCAGTTGGTTAAGCGTTTTCTTGTTCTGTTACTGCTAAGGTTAAGAAGGAGAAACGTGCCAAGAAGAAGGCCCTCCTCAGCCTTCGAGCTCGCGTGGCACAGGGGGACAGGGCTGGCCGGGACGTCAGGGTCCCGGCTTTCAGTCCAGACTGCGTTAACTGGTGGTCCAGCCTCTAACTTTGGTCAAGTCTCTTGACTCTTAGTTTTCAGTTTCTTCATCTATAAAATGAGGGCGTGCATCCAGCTGATTTTCAAGGGACCCTCTGTCTCCAAAATCCCCTGATTCTGCTTTTTCAGACTAAAATTATAACTTTTCATTTGCTTATATTGAGAGCAGATTTGAGTGAAGTAATGAGAAACATTTTGTTTGGCCCTTATAAGGACTGTGTTCTTGTTTGTGTGCATCTCTTTACTCAGATTCTGTTTTTAGAAAGTATATGCAAACCATTAAGCGTGATTTATTTTCATATTTGTTGCATTAGAACACATCAGCTGCTTTATACTTCATATGAAATCATTGGGAGGTGAATTCTTGCCATTTCAACTATTTATGGCTATTTGGGGGATATTTTTTGCTA